TATACGTTGACCAACTGAATCCAACATGTTCTTTTAAGAAGCATGAAAACTAAATATAATCTGTACGTGGAACCCTGTGAGAACGAGACAGAACGTACAGTTTTCGTTCCTGCAAAATATATACACAAACATTTTCCCCTTCTTTGCATATTGATTAAACTTCAGCAGGTGAAATGTAATGAATCGGTGAGACATCTGTCTTCACCTACTGAGGACAGATTTTAGACTGCACACCAGCTGGTCTCTTCACTTTGGATGATGATTTTGTACCTGAGGCTTTCATACCGTTTCACACACACACACACACCGTGGACATTTCTTTTCTCTTCAGACTGACTGGAAACACAGTCGCTGTGGTTTCCTCCTTACGTTGAAACATTTCCCTCATGAATCTCTTGGATTGATGAGATCCTTTCTGAAGGTCGTGTCCTCAGCTTATTAAAGTTTGTCTCTGACTCCTCGTTTGTTTCGTACTGCTGCTACATCAGCTGCTAACGAGCCAGTGGTTCTTTTTTTTTTTTTTCATATTCAACATGCATCATGTGTACAAATGTGAAATCTGCATATTTCCTGTGAATCGCAGACCCAATAAGCACCCATTTAAAAAGGAGTGTGTGGAAATGCTGTGATGTTGGTTTGGTTTTGCTGCTTGTGCATGGAAGTTGGAACTTATTCACTAGTTCTCAGGTCTTAAAATCTCAACGTCTCTCTGAACGTTTTGGTTTCTGTGAACTTCTACAAGAGAGGGGAAAATATCACTCAGAATCTTAAACCGTTAATCCTGAAAGCACAGACAGAATTCAGGCATACCGTGTCAAAATTTGTGCATCGTGGCGCATTTAGTGAGAATCCGTATCTGCAGCTCTGGAGCTTTTTAGCCTTGTTTAGCGCCTGTTTTTTGTTTTGCAGCACATTTCCTGTCTGGTTCGGTCTCGAGGGGTTACTTTAATCTCAGTAGGCACAGCAGTCGGTGTAATTCATACAAGATCTGCAGCCAGAGGCAGATGGTGTTTAACAGCTACTGAGAGAGTTAATGACGCATCCTGCCTGAAAACACAATGAACCAACAACTCTGTGTGTGTTATCTCCTCCCCGTCTCACTCAGTCGTTCTATTATTATCTCGTTCTGTATCTTCATTATCTCACCTCAAATGACATCTCCTCCTCCTCCTCTTATTGCTTCACTGAAATTATCTGTATTAGACTGTTCACTTGATGTTAACATGGTGCCAAATGAAATGCTAAAATCTGTAGGAGCATGTAGTGATTACAAGTAATGTGGACAACATAGTTAGTCATCGCTTGTACATCATTCAGGTGGATTCTCTGTCTGCAGACACGATGGCGCCGACCCCCTACTGGTGTTTAGTTTTTGAACATCACCTGAGCACTAAATCATTTTTGTATTATCATGTTCCTTCGTTCATCTGGCCGTGAAGGAGTGAATCTTTGTTTTTGCTCCCAGCAGTGATTTCTGCCGCTGGCAATTTAGGGGGCTTTCACACCTGCCTCGTTTGGTCCGAACCAAAATTGCAGGTGTGAAACCTCCCACGGACCACGGTCCACACCAAACGGACTAAATTTGGTCCGACATAAAGAGGTAGTCTTGGTCCGGATCAAACTGAACCACGGTTCGGTTCGTTTCTAGTGTGAAAGCATTTATTTAGGATGGTTCGGACTTTCAGACTATTTACGGGAAGTTTCACGTGTAAACCGGAAACAAACAAATGCACGATAATAAGGACACAATTATAAATCTCCCGTGACAGCTCATCAAACACGTCTGTCGTGTAAAGTTCTTCAGTGCAGTCGCAGAATTGCAGCGTGAAACCAAACCAAAACTAACCAGATGTATCAAAGCACGAGCTTCGGTTCGGACCCTTTCAGGTGAAAGTGAAAGCCCCCTTAGTTATAAAAATATGTGAAGCATACTTGCCAACTTTCTCAGTTTTCCTGGGAGATTTTCCATTTTTCTGTCCCTGACAATGAGTAGGACAGCGTCTGGTCGAACTCCACAGGTTGACTTTTTTCCAACAAAGCTTGAGAACTGCAGTTTAGGGTCATACACTAAGGCTTCAGATTTCTCCTGTAAAACGTACTAAGTTTAATCCTCTGCTCTTAAAGTACTGTAACAACTGTACATACTCTCACTGTACTCACTTTTTGGATGCCCTGTTGTTAGTGACTTTTGGACCAAAGTTTGTAAAGAAATGGATATTATAATCAAGGGAAAACAATACAAGTTTTTTCCATGTTTGGGACCCCTTTCTGGAACATATTGGAGATGATGGGGCCCGTACTCTCGTTGTCTCTGCGGTCTGGCATGGACTGAGATTTCGGGTCATGTTTTCCGGTCTTAGTGCTTTATGTGCTGTTAGATTACCATGGATACATCTAACTATACGAACCTTTTGTCTGAGTACTTTTTAATTTCTTGTTAAATATTTATATCTGGGAGACAGGGCCTTCCAGGCAGTCGCCCCACGGCTCTGGAATGCCCTCCCAGAGCCCCTAAGGGCCCCACAAACTCTGGAGGTTTTTAAGAAGGGCCTAAAGACTTTTTTATTTCAAAAGGCCTTTTAACAGTCATGGTTTTAAATTTTTTGTTACGGTGTTTTATTGCGATTGTTATTTTCTGGAACTGTTTTTAACCCCTTGTTGTTGTAGCACTTTGAGATTTCCCTGAAATGTAAAGTGCATTATAAATAAAATTTATTATTATTATCTTTTTTTGAAGTAATTAGTTTTTTATGTATAATTTTTTTTGCCTTTTATTTATTTTTTTAAACTTTCTGGTTTGGCTATAAGATAAGATTATATATAAGATGATTTATTGTCCCCGAAGGGAAATTTGTTTTGGACTCTGTCCGTTCTGCAGCTTTGCAAGACAACACAAAATACAGAAATGAAGCATCTCTCACACATATTGTAACACAACACATGCTGTCGTGTACATTAGACAGTTACACATATAGTAGCACATCGACTCCTTCTTCCAATGCCGGTTTTGATTGAACAACCCTGTTGGCTGCATTCCCACAATGTAAAGCCTTGCACAATGAGATACTGCACAACCCCTACTGCTTATATGTAGGGGAGTGTTAAAGGGTTGAATTTTCACTTGTGATGTCTATGATCCTTTAAATACAATAAAAATACTTTACATAAAAAAAAAAACAAAGCATGAAGACGAGGGTCCTGCTGGTTCCGGTCCTGGACCGTGGCGGCCCGCAGCAAACGCTCCAAAGTTCGTCTTAGCTTCACTAACAAACTGCATTCACCGTGTTCAACGTGTCGCGCTCTCCCAGATCCAGCTGACGCCAACAGCAGCGACGTCTCGGGTACAAAACACAGGTGAGCCGACGTTCACCTTTTATACAGCAGGGAAACCAACGATGGCTCCAGATGAGACGAGTCCCAGAGACGCCGCTCTAGGACAGAGACTCCTTTCACTTTAGAGACATGAAGGGGAGGAGGAGCGAGGAGGAAGAGGAGGACGGTCACCGAGCGCTGACATTCAATAAGTAGAATCGGAACTGATCAAACTGAAATGATACCAAACCCTTAACACCAGCTGCACGTGATGCAGGAGAGGATCACATGCCCGTCTCCTGATCTCAAGGTTGGCAAGTTTGATGTGAAGTGGAGACCGTGCCTCAGTGTACGCCGTGACCGGGACCGTCGAGTCTCTGTGGTTCGGACAGAAGCAGGATTCTCCCGTCCCCCGTGTGAACGCTGGCTGTTCAGATAGCTGCAGTGACCTTTTAAATCCCAGAGCGTGTGAACGCTTCACATCACAGCCGTCACTTACAAAACCCTTCATATCTGCAGCAGAGCAGCAGCTGTCCAGGAACAAAGAGGAGTCGCCTCGTCTTCGGCTTTTTGTTTCAGGAAAAGGTCAGGAGCCATGTGATCTCTCAATCCAAACATTCCTCTTTATTGTTCTTTACTTTTACTGGTCGAGCTCTCAGACAGTCGAATCCTCCGTCCGTTTTAGATTTCGCTCACGTTTCTGTTTGGTGTTTATGTCACGGACTGTTAAGCGTCTTCCTTTCTTTCCTTTCTCCTCACCTCCTCTCCTTCACCTCTGTCTCCTCTCCCCCTTCCCTTCCCTCCTTACCTCCTCACCACTACTCTCTCTTCCCTCGTCCTCTTCTCTCCCCTGTTTCCGCCTCCTCTCATTTCCCTTTGTGTTTTGCATTTCTGTTTTCTCCTCCCTCCTCCTGTTATTACCTCATGCATTTTCTTTTTCTCCTCCTCACCTCCTCTCTCCTTAAAGGGAAATTCGGGTATTTTTTAACCTGGGTCTTAAAGTCACACGGTAGAGCTAGAAAGGTTCCACATTAACAATTTACAAGTGTTGTGTGATTAGAGTTCTTTTGTGTGACTGACGATATAACTTTATGTCAGAGCTATCTTATTCCTCAGCCTCCTTTCATTGGCTCCCAGAATGTTTTAGTACATATTTTAAGATCTTATTGTTGACTTTCAAGGCTCCTGGATTTAGACGTGTTTGCATAAATCTATAAATATTATTTGTATTATGATGTATGCCATCGCTGCAGAAAAGAAAGGACGGATAAGTAAATAAATGTAAAACCCTGGACATCTTTGGAGAAGAACACAGGTCTGAAACTAGTAATCGCAATAAGTCCGATATGACCTGAATGCGTCGTTGTCATAGTTGTGTCCCTAAAGCTTTTAGTTTTACACAAATCATTCATTCGCTCATGTCTGTAACTTAGCCCTCTGGATTAGCTGTTTGCTAAATGGATCCAGCAACATTTAACCTGTCTGTGGGTTTATGGGAAAGTCCGTTAAAAAATTAAATGTACCGATAATTTTTTTGTTAATGAACTGGATTTTTTTCGTTATTTGATTTATTAAAAATGTCAATGTAGATTTTAATGTGTTTTTCTTAGTTCTGGATCAGAACCGGTCAGTTATGGTTTCTCTTCAGCTCTCTGTTAACCTTCCTCCCCCTCTTCCTCGCCCTGCAGAGCGTTGGTGTGAGCGTTATGGAGACCTGCAGGGGGAGCTGCTGTGCGTGGAGCTGGACAAGGAGCGGCAGGGTCTGGGTCTCAGCCTGGCGGGAAACCGGGATCGTTCCCGCCTCAGCATCTTCGTGGTGGGACTCCATGCCGGTGGGCCGGCCGCTCGAGACGGACGCATCCGGGTCGGAGATGAGCTGCTGGAGGTGAGACCACGTTATTAAAATCGAGTCACATAAAGGTTATTTACAGGACTGACTTCTGGTCAGCTGGCCGTGGCTATCTCTGAATTTAATGGTCGCATCTGCGAGTCTGCACGCTGACCTGAGCTCAGCTGCTTTAACGAGGTTTGATCTCTGCTTGCTGAACAGCGTGCGGATTCTGTTTTGTTCAGTCCGTCTCTACCTGGCGGCAAGCTAACGTCGCTGCTTTTTAACAGCCGAGCAGGGGAACATATTCAGCCAATCGTGTGGCTCCACTGACGTCAGTTTCAGATGTTGCGGTGGCGGCGAGGAGCCAAGGATACTACGTGGAAAGGCTTCAGATGTGATAGGCAGTACTTGTAGTGTGTTAGAAAAACACAGGAGCGCCTTCCACGGTACATGCTGACTGTATCCATAACCTCAGTTAGCATAGCATGGCGTCGTGTCGCCGGCGCTCTGGATAGATGAAGGTGGTGAGGTGAAAGCTTGTGCATATATAACCTGCGGGGGAAAAACACTTTTTAAACCTTATTCCGGGCCAAAGTCATCAAACTGTTTCAGATTATCCTGCTGATTCTCTACGTGTAGGTCCTCAGGTGCCGTTCTGGCTCTCTGCCCGTTCATTTAGAGAGAGACCTGATCTCGTTAGTCCCAGATACCTGGAGGCGTTACAAAGATGGCTGCCGAGGGGCGGGACTTGCCTATATAAGTACTTTGGTTGTGTGGCGACGCTCTGCTCTCACCTTCATGTTGCCCTCAATATAAAGTGTAATAACTCCGGTGATCCTCTGACTCTTCCTCTAGCGCCACCATCAGGTCAACACGTTGAGGTGTTCATCATTCCCATCAGCCCCAGCTGTACACTGCGTTTACTGCTAATTAGCAGACATTAGCATGCTAAGTTGCTAAGCTCGGACTGCTAGTTAGCTAATGTTAGCATGCCAACACGGCAAACTAATATGGTCAAATGGCAAAGATCACACCTGCTGAGCATTAGCATGTTAGCATTGGCATTGTCTGTATACTAGCATCATATGTTATTAGAATGCTAACATTAGCGTTTAGCTCGGGCTGTAGGCTCTCATTTGAATAATAATGGCAGCTAACGATTATTTTCTCGATTAATGGATTGTCAGGTCCAGAAAATGGTGAAAAATGGTGATCAGTGTTTCCCAAAGCCCGAGGTGACGTCCTCAAACGTCTTCTTCCAAATACGTTCAGTTTACTGTCACAGAGGAGCAAAGACACCAGAAAATATTCACATTTGAGAAGCTGGAATCAGAGAATTTGGATGTTTTTTCTTTTATTAAAAAAATGACTAATCTATTATCAAAATAGCTACTAGCACTAACGATTAATCGACTAATCTTTGCAGCTCTAGTGGCTTTTTAAAAAAATTCTTACTGAATGTTCTTGAACACAAAGTCCTAAAACAACACGATGTTTCAGTCATGTGTTAGTCTCCCTGCATTTTGCACAGCTTTCCAACTCATATAAATATTAAACAGAGAAACACTGATCTCCTCTCTCTCTCTCTCGCCCTCTCGCTCGCCCCCTCCTCCTCATTACAGCAGTGTCAGAGACTCCATGAAAAATGGATGTTCAGCCGAGGACAGCCTGGACAATTACACCACGCACACTAAAACACAGACGTTTTAACACTCACACCGAAAAACCATTTGCATAGATGAAAGAAACATTACTGCAAAATATATATAAAAAAACATCAGGTTCATGTATAATATAACATAATATAATAGAACATTTTCATCTTGTAGCTGACTTGTACAGTGAAAGAAAGACACACAGCCTTCATTGATCTTTAATGTTTTGCATATCTTGTTGATCTCATATGTTTATATTTATTTATGTTTGTCAGGCAAAGCAAAGTCCTTGTATGTGTGAAGCTACTTGGCAGTAAAGCAAGAAAGACAATAGAAACATAAAATGGTTTTTAACTATTTTATCCTGAGGATGTGTGTGTGTGTGTTATAGATGAGATATTGATTTAACATTTGAAAGTGCTGGTAGCTTCTAACTCGCTAGTTTATGGCCTTACAGCTCATTGACCTTTCAATTAATGCCCGTCTCAGTTAAATGTGTGTGTGCATGCGTGGGCTTGTTTACTTGTGGGGTCCAACAGCTTTGTATGGATGCAAATGCTGGAACCCCACAAGTTTAAAGTCCTGTTTGAGGATCAAGACTTGGTTTTAGGGTTTAGGTTTGTAGTTGTGATGGTAAAGGTTAGTGTGTGATATTCAGGAGGATCTACTGACAGAAATGCAATATTACATAATGAACCGTTATATTTTTATTACCTATAGAGTCATTTCTATCTACAAACTCCTCTTACATGTTGTGCCGCCATGTTTCTACAGTAGCCCAGAATGGAAAACTGCTCTACGAAGTATGATTCATCACTACAGTGTATGGCTGGACGATACAACACTTGATGCTAAACAGTGGATCACTTCACAAATATGAGGGAGAACATTCAGAACTATTGTGATAAAAAAAAAAATTAACAAATTAGTAAATCTTTTTTCAGTCCCTTTTCCTCAACAAAATAAATATTTTAATAGAAAAATGAAGTGCGTGATTCAAATGAATTAAACCAAATATCTGACGATATATTAAACATTTATTATATTGATATTGAGGAAAATTATATTGGGAAATTATCATTCTTGTTTTATGGCCCAGCCCTACTACAGTGGATACGTACGAAGAAAAAGAACAACAAGTAGTAACATAGTAGTAGTAGTCGTCGTCTGGTTTATTAGAAGTAAGAAAAGAAGATAAATTTGGACAAATGGACGACCACACGTGTTATTTAGCTCAGCGCCGACAGAGCGTCTCCTGCTCACTTGCAAAGGGAGGGGTGAGCGGTGACTGATGGTGCATTTATGTTGTGTCGGAATAATCAGAATCTTTATAGGAATAAAGTGAACATGGGACATAAAGAAGTAAACAGAACACTATACAAACATATAAGAAGACACAAATAATAAAAACTTTGTCAAGGGTAGATTATATAATATAAAGATATTAAAAGAGAACCATATGTTTTCAGTTTTCAGCCTTTTTGTTGTTGGATTTAGAAATTAAATAGATATAATGTACAATCTCATGGAGAAAAAGTACAAAGTTAGGTTTTTTAGATGAGAATTTTTCACAAGAATTAGTACATTTATTATAAAGTACTTATTTTATCCGAGGAGCACGTGAATGCACAGTGAGCCGTTTGTTGCAATTCACAACCCTCACCACTAGATGCCACTAAAACTTACACACTGACTCTTTAAGCAAAAAAAACCCAAAACAAAAACATGTAAAAATCAATAACTAATATAAATGTCAGGTTTCCCAAAAGCAGAGCAGAGAGGGAAGGTTGGACTGAGGCAGAGTGAGTGATGAGTGAGTCGGGCTGAGGTTCTGTTGGAGGCTGACGGGAGAACAAAGCTGGTGTTTCAGGGGTTGGTCTGGTGGATTTCGGGCAGGCAGAGTGAACTGGGTGATCTGGAGTTTGGTGCGAAAGGGTTCGTAAGGACGGGGAAAACCCAGTTAGCGATGCAGAAAGGTTAAAAGAGTACTAGAACAAGTAAAATGCCTGACAACTGGCAAACTATTGTGCCGATGAGATGAGGGAATTCTTATTTTTTCGGCACCACACTTTTTCCCCCTTTCTTTCTTTTCGACATATTTACCTGCTTTGTTGTGCTTCTCACACAGCCCTGGGCTGAGTTTACCCCCGACAACACGTATTGAGAGTAAACTCCTTTGATCGGCGCTGTTGAGCGCCCATGGGACCTTATTTTGTGGAAAAATATGTATATGAGAGAACTTATCTTTTTATCCTGTTAGAACTGAGCCCTGAATCACACACGTTTGTCAATTTAAAATATAATTTTGTCCGTCAAGACGACTCCTGGTCCTTTTATCACATCATCCTCTCATGTAAGTTTTTTGACGTTGGCTTCAGTCATTGACAATTACGACATCACATACACGAGGTTTGGGTTTGGGTCTTTGTAATTATGTATTTTCACAGTCTCATACCTCAGCTGTTTTTGATCAAACTGCGACTTTCTTGACATCATTATCCCAATACAAGCTTTTTTTTATTGTGCTTTAGAATCTCCTGAGTTGTGGTTTTCATTACACTGTTGGTGTCATTCAACGTGGGGGGTCCATATTTTGATATATGGGTCCTTTGTGACGTTTGATTAAAAAAACAACAACATTAGTATCTTATATGTCAGGAGAGAGACCTGACTGGCACTCCAGACATAAATAAATTAAGAGTCACACTGTAAAATATGTGTAATTCAGGGCACAATTCAAACGGGATCAAAATATTTGTTGTCCCTTGCCGTTGACTACCGTTCAGTATTTTTCCACAATAAGTTCCCATGGTCGTCCACCGGAAGGGGAGGGACTTAGGCTCTCTATTAGATTTCAGCAAAAAGCGCCCGGACGTGACTGTATTTGGATGAGATGGTGGAGCTAACGGCTGTGTGCGGAGCTATCTAGCGTGCTTAGCTAAGTGCATCTGTAATTCACGTTAACTACCATTTTAACAGGGCTGATAAGTTTGTCTAGCGAACAACAGTGTTAAAACTAAAGTGAACAGCCGACTCCTCATAAGCTTTTTCAACGGGGCTGGTTAAATTTACTTTATTATTTATTTGATAATTTTACTTGCAGAACAGGCTTTTACTAAATCATGATGATGTATTATTTTTATTAAATACATGCAAATATACTTTGTTGTCTTTTAGTTTATGGTTTACCATTAACAACGTGTGCTTCCAAGGGAGCTGCTACTGATTTATTTTTTTTCTCCGAGTTCACAAAAAATACTTTTTCTACTTGGAAGTCGGAAATTTTTGAGCTCTGAGTTGCCCGTTACGCAGCATAAGAGTGCCGGAGGACACGCCCACCATCTCCATGCCGACCAGAAGAGAGAGAGAGCACAGACGGCCAAAACCAACACACACCAATCAAAAAGCCTCGTGATCCAAAAGGTCAAAATAAATCAAAACACATTCACTCTCATACCAAATGTCAGCAGGCAGGTGTCACGGTGACTAAACGCCTCTGAGCCAGCTGCCAGTAGGGACTCACTTCACCAAATTTAAAGGTTTATTTGCAGAAGTTGAAGTTAATATACAAAGAGAACAAGAACGCTATAATACAAAACATAGTTAACAACTAACAGGGATAAAAGAAAACATGTAAGATTATATATTAAAAATAAATACGTAGTCACATCAGGTCATTAAGTTTAATTTAACTATATATTTTTGTCCTGTGCAATCATATTTATTTTAGTGTATATATAATATACTACTATACAGTGTATTTTTCATTTCTATTTTTTATCTAATGTGTATTTTTCTGTCTGTTGTGTAGCTGGAGCAAGAACAAAAATCTGCAATAAATACTTCAACCAACCAGAACGATACTGTCAGTGACAGCCAATCACAAACAAGCATTAGGAAGATGATATGTACAGTGTGAACAGCTAATTCACACAGTAAATATTCAGGTGGATCCGCATCAAGTCGCTGTGGTACCAGAACCAGATACATTTCCTCTGTCGGTTGTTTTCATTAGAAATTTGAATATATCGACCATCGTATGTTTCATTTAAATTAAGGTTCATCATCAGTAAATGTTTGTCTCTCTTGTCTTTCTGCTAGATTAACAACCAGGTTCTTTATGGGCGGAGTCACCAGAACGCCTCGGCCATCATTAAGAGCGCCGCCTCCAAGGTGAAGCTCATCCTGCTCAGGTAGGACCGCAGGGCAGCGACTCAGAAGTCGGCTCTTTCTTGTCTTTTAAAATAATAAAATATTTGCCATACATAAACAAATCCTCTACATTGTGAATGCGTAATTAATTTTCTATAGGAAGGAAGGTAAAGAACCGTCGATGTCCGTTATCACTGCTCTCAATGGAGGGATTTCAAATCTTAACCGATGGGACACGACGACAGAACGATGTCGATCTGACAGAAATGCAATATTAATAACGATTAAGTAACGATCTGCGATCCCGGGACTTGAGATCTCACAGAATCTCGCGTGATCAAACGTGACTTCAGACAGAAACAAACGTGCAGCTGGTTGACCAAACAAAAAGAAGAGAATCAAGCTGTGGAGGAACTCGAGGCTGAGAATCAGCAGGTTTATACGTTTTATAGAGCAGAGACACAAGACCTGCTCAGCTCGCTCTCATTGGCTGCTGAGGTTGTGTGTCTGTTGAGTTGTTGTCAGGAGGGCGAATCGGACCCAACATTGGCCTAATTATCCTTTAGTGTGTGGCCAGCGTTACAGACGGCGTCTTCTCGTGTTTACTTTGACTCCTAGACGGGTGTTTGGAATCCTTCATATAAAACTCTGAACTTATTTACTGTAGGAGGCTCGACCTGACTCACATCGTTTTGTACGAGTCCTCGTTCCCCGGAGCAGTGGCAGACAGTAATTAAGTACATTTACTCAAGTCCAAATTTGCAGTACTTGTACTTTACTTGAGTATTTACTTTTCACGCCACTTCCTCCTCCTGCTCCACCTCAGAGGGAGATCTTGTACTTTTTACTTCACTACATTTATCTTTACAAAGTCAGATTGTTACACACTAGAGAGTTTAAAAAATATGATTTGTTATAAATTAAACTCCCCGACGTTTTATACAAGAACAGCTCGATTATCAGATTGACATTTATATTAACCGACAACAACTTTGACGGTTTGAGACATTTTTCAAGGAAAAAACATCTGATGGTTCCAAAGACGTGAAGATTTGCTGCTTTTCCTTTGAATTTATTTGCAATAATGTTGATCTTTGTGCCGTTGGTCGGACAAAACAAAGCATTGAGAAGGTGTCACTTTGGGTTCTGGTGTAACTGTGACAACATTTCTCATTATTTTCAGAATTTAAAAAATTGATTAATGGAGAAAATAATCAGCAGATTGATCCAGAAGGAAAATAATCCTCAGCTGCACTCTGATACTAAAGAGTTAAAATGAGCTCAACAACTACAGCAGCAACATCCTGCTTTACATAATGCATGACGAATAATAATAATCTAATGTATAACAGTAAAACAGTCACAGGGGACATTTTCTTTTACCTTTAGTACATTTTCCTGATTATACTTGCATACTTTTACTTCAGTAACATTTTAAATGCAGTACTTTTCCTTAAACAACCACTTCTAAGGTTAAAATAAAGCAGAATTTTCCTCTAAGGATGTCTCCAAAGTTTACTCCGTTATTCGTTTCCAGGTTAGACTGAAATGATGAATCTGTGTGTCAGAAGAGAAGAGAACATTTTACACTTACAGTAAAATGAGAAACACTGTTGTGATCTTAAAATGATCGTGACTGTTGGAGAGTGGAAGACATAAAGGATCCAGGGAGAGCAGGAGGAGGAGGAGGCAGGGAGGGAGTGATGTGTTCAGAGAGAGGAGAACGTGAAGTGTTTCTTAAACGGCAGCACTCTCTTTTCAATTAAAAAGCTGTCTCCCTTGCTGCCGGCGCCAAAAGTCCCTGAGCTGGTGGAGCCGACCTGAGGAAGACGGGCTTCCCTGTCTTTGAGTCCGCGGCCTTTTGCACGGCGCTGATGGAGGGAAACTGAAGGTGTCACATTCAGCAGGAGCTCCTCCACCACCTCTGGGTTCTCTCCTTCTGTGACTGCTCTGCCTGCATTTCCTCTGATTCTCTGGGTTTGATCAAATGAAACTGTATCGATCCTCGTGCAGGAATTGGGTCATCGCAGCAGCAGCAGGCGGCGGCGGGGTGCAGACGAGAAAAGAACAAATCAGAGGAAGTTAAAATAACATTGAGGAAACCTGCCAAGTGTCCCGACGCTGCTGCGGCTGGAAGCTCAGAGCCAACATGGCTGCCGTCTGACGTGAGAGACGGGAACAAACCCGCTGCAGCTGAGTGATGACAAGAATCCAAGAAGGGTTGGATCAAGGCCAACAGGAATCCAAGAGGCTTCTTCAGTTCTCACTGACTCCCAGGTTTAAACGATGAAGATCCTCTGAGAACATCCTCCTCGGATCAGCTGGAAAATGCAGCGTCACAAAGCTGCAGACAGGACAGCGACGCTACAAACACATGATGATCTTATTGACCATGATGCATTGCTGCAGATTAAACTACCCAACAGGGCATACTGTAAAAGCAGAAAAATGCAACATCCACATTAAGCGAGCGGGAATATTAATCCAGAAACATCAGATCTGTGGATAAACACTGCCACTAAGTACACGCATACTTTTACTGAAGTAAAATTTGCATGCAGGACTTGTACATGTAGTATTTAGAGTATTTTCACACTGGTGTTAGTACTTTTACTGATGTAAAAGATCTGAATACTTCTTCCACCTCTGACAGTATTTCAATCAAACAGTTTAGTTTGAGAGCTGCTCAGGGACATTTTCCACGTCCGTCCAACAGCTGTGGGTTGTTGTTGTTGTTGTTTTTGGAGTAGTATAGTAGTGTTTAATACTTTTCACTCGCAGAAACCGACGTGGTCATTGTGTCAACAGGAGGAGCACATCAGAGTCGAGTCCAACATTTTGAACGTGATCCAAAACTGACCCGTAGACAGTCAGAATGAACCCTCAGCCACTTGAAATGTTTCAGGGGAATCTGAGGCCTGTTCAGGATTTTAAAAAAAGCCAAGAAACATTCGTCACGAACTGAAGTCTGATCGCTCACACCGCACTGGACACGTACTAAATCACATCAGTTAATGTCCTGTGGAAGAAGCCTTTACAGGGTCGGTTCCCTGTGGTAACTCTGAAAGTAGACTTCATTCTCCCTCTCTGCTCCACAGATTTTAACATGTACGTCACACTGAGCTGTTACATCAAGTCAAACGTGTGGCTTTGACTCGGATGACGACGACAGTCCAACACATCTTTGTGGTAGCGTCCATGTTGATTCCTACTTGAAAGCACATGAACTCAACACTCGGGACAATCCGAGGAGCACATGAATGCAGCAATAATGTCAGTGTTTTGTCTGACAGAAGACAAACGTTTCATTTAGTGCAGCTGCAACAGATGTTTGTGAAGTGCCAATCGGTGTCAGGGATTGTCCGGGGAAATCCCATGAGCTCCGCCAATCAGATGGAGTCGCATCACACGAAGATCCCTGCAGGCAAAGAGCGCAGCTGGAACAACAGTCAGATTTTGCCTCGGGCTGTGAAACGTCACTGAGCGTCTGTACAACATGATCTGATCTCCACCCCGAGAGCATTTAGCTTCAGTCTGTTCTGACTCATGCTAAACGAGACGGGGACGGCAGCCTTCCTGGAACTTCAAAGTCCAAAACCCGCTGTCTGATCTGAAGGCAGAGTCGTCACAGGCGGCGGCGACAAAGCTGCGCGCTCAGCGTCACACCGTCACAAAGCGCTCAGTTTAACACTTTAGAGTTAATGAAAGCCGACGGGAGGAGGCCGTCCTTCACTTTCAAGACGAGTCCTTTGAGAAGGAGAGGAGCCGAGGACGGGGGATCTGCGACAGGAGATTAAACCCTCCCGGTCCTCCGCCTCCTCCTCAGCTGCAGAAATGAGCTTTCTGCAGCTGAGATTGATTTGCAGCTTTGAAGCGAGCAGGTGTGGTGAATTTTACCAAGGTCTCATTAAGACCAAAGCCCCTCTGTCAGGCAGGATTTAAACTGCAGGGCACCGATCCAAGAGGATAATCACACTCGAGTTTATCTGCAGAGGTTCTGTATCTGCTGTTTTACCTGGTGCACTATGAAACAGGAAATACCCTCATGATAACCAGAACAACAGAGAGAAAACACCAAAGGGAAAAAGGGGAAAGAGTTCCAGGTGAACTTGTTCTGTCACTGAATTACTGAAAGACTGAAGATCTTAAAAACATGATGATCCTCAGGAAAGTTCTGCAGCTTCTGTTTCTCTGGTTTCTAAGCTGATTTGTGGACGTTTGTTCTGGACGGGCATCAGATGATGATATCCTCGGGAACTGGAAGTCACACTGAATTCAATGTTTTCATGCTTTTATCTTGTATTGTTTTTGTATTATTGTCTTTACACTTGTTAAAGCACTTTGTAACTTGTTTTTGAAAAGTGCTCTACAAATAAAGATTATTATTATTAATTATTATTATTATTATTATTATTATTAATTATTCAACGTGTGTTTCATGTCTGTGTGATCTGATCTGGCTGAGTTAGGACTCTGAGAAGAAGATTTCTGATTCAAATTCACCTCACGCAGTATCTTTGCCTCCCCTTCAACTCTCCAGGGTTCCCCTTAAGCTGCGTTCACACTGAAAGCGAATTTAATATTCGCCTCGCTTTACTCGCGCGAGTTTGACCGCTGGACAATTTGAGTGTTCAAACACACACGTGTTTTAAGCGAATAAACACAGCCGCGGATACTACAGCTATATGAACACAAAATAGCAATAAACGGATCAAACTGATGCTGAAATAACTACAATATGATGCCGTTTTGTTAAACATATGAATTCATACTTTGTCAGGTCTGTCAGCAGGACGACAACTTTTAAAATAGGTGTTATCTGAATGGAGTTCAGGTCGATCAGGGATACGCTATGCTAACTTGTTCACAGTAAAGTATGACAGCTGGAATAAAGTTACAGACATGTTTTCTGAACACACCAGGTAGTTCAACCTCCTCGCTTTCTTTTCTCCCAGTGACGTCCAGCTTTGTCCGGTTTTTATATAAATACGAAGTAGCAGTCCAGCAGAACTCCGGTGCCATCCGACGCTAACAGTGGAAC